GAGCGGGTACGTGCGGCACAACAGCTCCTGCCGCTCCCTCTGCGACCTCGTGCCCAGCTACTGCCACAACGGCGGCCAGTGCTACCTGGTGGAGAGCCACGGGGCCTTCTGCCGGTAAGGACGGGGGCCCTGGGGGGGCTGGGGGACACGTGGGGGCTCGCCACCCATGGGCACCCCATCCCTAGGCTCTCCATCCCCTGCACCCCACCCCTAGGCTCTCCATCCCCTGTATCCCATCCCGGGGCTCTCCACCCCTGGGCACCCCATCCCTAGGCTCTCCATCCCCTGCACCCCATCCCTAGGCTCTCCATCCCCTGTATCCCCTCCCGGGGCTCTCCATCCCCTGTACCCCATTCTCAGTCTTCCCATCCCCATGTAACCCATCCCTGGGTTCTCCGTCCCTGTGCATCTCATTCCCAGTCTTTCCATCCCTTGTGTAGCCCATCCCCAGTATCTCCATCCTCCGTGCACCCCACCCCTGACCTCTGCATCCCCCTGTACCCCATTCCCAGGCTCTCCACCCTCTGCCCCTCACCCAGGTCCCTCCGGCCCCCGCATCCCGATCCCGCCGGGACGCGGAGGGGTTTCCCTGCCCCCCGAGCGGCGGCTGGGCAGGAATTAGGTCAGGGCTGTGCAGCCGCGGCTCCGGGGCGGCCGCGCTAATCGGCCCCGGCAGATGCGCCGGGGAGGCCGGTGCCGGCTGTGCCGCACGGATCGGGACGCGCCCCGCGCCTGGCACCGAGCCCGGCCCCGCGGGGGTCCCCCCAGCCCTGCTCCCACTGCTCCCGGCGCTGGGAGCCCCCGGCGAGGGGGACCAGCATCAGTGGGGGACCCCGACCACGTTGGCCCCCAGTGTCCCCATCGCACTCAGCCCCGGTGTTGTGGTGTCAAACCTCCATCCCTGGGGACAATTAGCCCCCAGATCTCCATCCCTGGGGACATTTGGCCCCCAGATCTCCATCCCTGAGGACATTTACCCCCCAGATCTCCATCCCTGGTGACGTTTAGCCCACCCACCCCTCAGCTCCAAGGTCCCCCTCGGGGACCCATTAATCTCCTCCCTCCCAGACACCCGTAATCCCCCCGATTACAGACGCCACGTCCCCCGAGGACGCTCTGTGGGATGGGGGGGACACATTTGGGGGCGGGGGTCCCTGACGGCGTGCCCTGGCAGGTGCAACACGCAGGACTACACGTGGCACAAGGGCACGCGCTGCGAGTCCATCGTCACCGACTTCCAGGTGATGTGCGTGGCCGTGGGCTCGGCCGCGCTCGTGGTGCTGCTGCTCTTCATGCTCACCGTGTTCTTCGCCAAGAAGCTCTACCTGCTCAAGACGGAGAACAGCAAACTGCGCAAGACCAAGTGAGTGGCGCGGGGAGGGGACGGCGCTGCCGCCCCCCGCGCTGCCCCCAAGGTGCCCCCAAACAGCCGCGGCGGGGGACGGGCTCAGCTCCCGGCATCGCAACGGGGCTGGGTGCGATCCCGTCCCTGTGGGGACAGCGCTGGCACCCCTCAAAATGTCCCCAGACTGTCCCCAAACAGCCGCGGCGGGGGGTGGGCTCAGCTCCCGGCAGTAGCACCAGGGTTGGGTGTGATGCTCTGTCCCTGGGGGGACGGTGCTGGCACCCCCCAAACTGTCCCCAAACGCCCCGACAGCCGCGGTGGGATGTGGTCCCGTCCTTTGGTGTCACCGGGACCCCCGGTGCCGGTGGGGACACGGTGACGTGTGGGTGGGAAAGCTCCCGGAGGCGGGAGCGCGGCGGGGCCATGGATGTGGCTCCTGCTCCACGGTTAATCCTTTAAAGCTGCTCCTGACTGGCACCAGTTAATCTGCTGCCCTGGGAGCTGGGGACACCGGCTGGGCTCGCCGGGAAATGGCCCGGCTGGGGACGCGGCTGGGGGGACAGGGAATGGTTGGGGTCACCCCCCCGCCGCGGCCGCTGCTGCCCAGCTCCTGGAACAAGGAGGAGGGAGCCCTCCCAGCCCGGTCCCTAATGAGCTGTTAATTAGTGTTTGGAAGTGCCAAGTGTAATTAGCAGGGAAGCTCCGTGCCAGCCCCTGGGTCTCCCTCTCCGGCCCTGGGAGCGGCGGCTCCCGGTGCCCCGGGCTGCCCTTCCCGCTCCCTGCCCAGAGCGGGGGTCACCCCAAACCCCCGGGGACGGGGGCTCTGAGCCCCCCAAAATGTCACACTGGGCTCATTTAGTCCCAAGTCTCCATCCCTGGGAGATGGAGATCCATCCAGGATCTCTATAGATAGCCCCCAGAACTGGGAACTTTTAGCCCCAAACCTCCAGAGCTGGGGATATTTAGCCCCCAAACCTTAGGTCTGGATGCATTTGACCTCCACAGATCCCCTTGTTTTGGGGCATTTAGCCCCCAGATCTCCATCTGTGGGGACATTTAGCTCCTAAATTCACACAGATGGAGACATTTAGCCCCCTAAAACCTCCAGATCTGGGGGTATTTAGTTCCAAACCTCCATCCCTGGGGACCTCCAGCACTGGGACCAGTTACCCTCCCAACACCAGGGTTGCCCTGAAATGTGGCCGGGGGTGCTGGGGGGTCCCCACTCTCAGCCCTTCTGTCCCCCCGCAGATACCGCACCCCGTCCGAGCTGCACAACGACAACTTCTCCCTGTCCACCATCGCCGAGGGCTCCCACCCAAACGTAAGGAGCTGCGTGGCACCGGCCCCCGTCCCGCTTCCCATCCCGCTTCCCGTCCCACCCTCCGCCCTCTGCCCGGTAACGTCTCGCCCGTCCCCCCTCCCCGATCCCAGCACTGCCCCCCTGTCCCCATCCTGCCAAAGCCACTGCTCTGTCCCCTTGCTGTCGGGTCCCCAGTGACCACCCTCCAGAGTTCCCGACGGCTTTGGCCCCGTGTGCGGGTGGCAGGGCTGGAATTTCCAGGGCGGGCAAGCCGGGGTGTCGTGGCTCTGGCAGCGGATACTCCCCGGCTGTGGCATCGCCGGCAGGAGCAGCGGATGGCTCCGGAGGCAGCGGGTGATGCTGGAGGGTGACACGCTCCGGGATGCTGCTGCTGTGGTCGGGGTGCAGCCGCCAGCATCCCCCGGGATCCCCGTCCAACCTCCTGTCTTTCGGCTCGGAACAGAGAGAAGCGAAGGGTTTTGCGGAGCCGGAGGAGGAGCGTAGGTCCCTCTAAGCCATTCCCTATCCACGGTGTTCCCATCTTCCGACGCCTTTAGCAGCCGTAGCTGCCCTGACAGGAGGCTCCCGGGGCCGGCTCCCACTGCTGAGAGGATGAACCTTGGGATGGACCCGGTGCCGCTCCCGGCGTCTCACCGGGGTCTGACTCGTCCCTCCCAGACGTGGAGGGTTTGGCACATGGTGTAGCACACTGAGGATGCAGAGGGATCAGAAGGGGCAACACCCCTGGAAAGGGGTTTTTGAGACCCCACGGTGGTGCCCATCCCGCTGATGGCACCAGCCCCGACTGGCCGGACGTCTCTGCCCAGGAGATGGAGGTTCCCGTCCTCGTGTGACACCACCCTCGGTGTCCCTGTCCATCCGTCACTCTCCGTGTGGCACCAGGAACACCATAACCACCACGCCCATCCTGCCTTGGCAGCCCCCCATGCCAGGGCTCATCCTGCCCCACCAGTGCCAACGGTGCCACCGGGACCCTCCGGGCACAGCCATCACCCGGCACGGCCGGAGCTCAGCCCTGGTGCCGGAGGGGCCGCTCCCCCGGGGATGTGGGACAAACTCGGGGCACAGCCCAGCCCCGGGGAGGGGAAGATGCTCCTGGGGGGGGCATGGGGAAGAGTGTCCCCGGCTTTGCCAGCGGCACGGCGGGACCAGCTGTACCCTGAGGATCCGCAATAAATCCAGCCCCTCTGGCCTCCTGCCAGGCCGGGAGTTGCTGATTGTCCATGAGATGAGCCGGGCTGGGAATGGGACGAGGAACTGGGTGGGGATGGTGGCTGGGATGGCTGGGTGGGATGGTTCCCGTGGCTGGCACAGGCTCCCATTGCTGGCACGAGCTCCTGTGGCTGGCACAGCCTTTGGGGGCTGTTGGTGAGTGGTTTTTGGGAGCTGGAGCATCCCAGGGTGGGGGAGCCGTGGTGGGGCACGGCCACGTGTCACCACAGGTGGGTCGGACCCTCTTGCCCACCGGGTCCCCCGTGCCGAGGTGTCCTCTGGGGGGGGGACATTTGTCCCCCCCAGTGTCTCCCTGCAAGGGCAGCGCCCACGTTGGGGTCGGTGGGATATCGGTGCCCTCCCCCAGTCCCTACTGTGGGTCACCCCCCGTCCCCAGCACCCCCTGACCCCCGTCTCTCCCGCAGGATGATCCCAGCGCTCCCCACAAGCTGCAGGACTCGCTGAAATCCTGCCTGAAGGACGAGGAGCCCTTTAACATCCACAACTCGACGTCGCCCAAGCACGACGGTGGCAAAGGGGAGCAGGACGGGGGGGAGCTCAACTGCCTCCAGAACAACCTGACGTGAGGGCGAGGAGGAGGAGGAGGAGGAGGAGGGAGGGGAGAGGAGCCAGGCTCCCACCCTGCACCCCCAGCCCTGTCCTCCCGCTGTCTCTTTTCCCGTGGCATGCTTTGGTGTGTTTTGTACAGAGGAAAACGAAAATCCCGGTACTAATTCGGCCGTGTCGTGGGGGTGTTTGCTCCGTGCTCCGTGTTTCTCGCTTGGGTTCGTTCCGCGCTGTGATTTCTAAACCTTTGCCGTCCCCGCAACTGACTTTTTTTGTACTTTTGCCCCACTTTTTTTGAAATACAGGTAAAAACGACAAAAAAAGGGAAAAAAAAAAAAAGGAAGATCTTGAAATAATAAATAAACCATTTTTTTTTTTTAAAGTTAAGGCTCTTGCCGGTGCCTGCGATCTCCCAGCATGGACACAGTGGGAATCGGTCCCTGCTTCCACAGGGTCCCCTCTGAGGGTCACTCAGGGGGTGGTGGGTGCCTGCTGCCCCCTCCTCACCCCCTCCAGACACCTCCCCAGCTCAGCCAGGCCAGGAGTGCAGCATATCCTGCTGCCATCCCAGACACCCCGGGATGTTTGGTGGAGGTGTCTGGGCTGCTCCAGGGCCTGCTCCATCCCCATCCCCATCCCTGTCCCCACTGTGGGTCCCCCCAGCCATGTGGGTGCACACGGGGTGACAGCTCCTGGCCACTCCTGCCCCAAGAGCTGCCCAGGATGTCAGTGGGACTTTGGATGAGACCCCCCAGGGTTGTCACCCCCCAGCTCCCTGTTTCCATCCCCTCGGAGAAGAACTGGCACCACTGTGGTTGGACTGGTCCCATCACCACCCCCCTGGCACCGGGCATGGAGCAGGGATCTCTCCCCAGGGAACCCCAGCATTCCCCCCACCCTCCCCTCTGGCCGTGGCTCCGTGTTGCTTCCCACAGGGACCAATTTCTTCTGGAGACAGATTCAGCCACGAGCCAACACTCCCGGTTCCTCGGGGGAGAGCACACGAAGCCATTGATCACCGGGCAATATTAGGTGTGTGGCACAGCAGGGATGCAGCCACAGCTATCCCAGCCCTCTCCCAGCCCTCTCCCGCTGCTCCCCCGGGGCAGGTGGGAGCCAGAGCTGCAGCTCCTCACGGATTGGGTGTTCCCCATGTGTCCTGTGAGCTGCTAAATAATTAATTCTCGGCTCACTTGGGGAGATTAAAAAATGAGGAGTGGTGGTGGGAGCTGGCAGTCGATCCCGGGAGTCACGGGAAGCAGAGCGAGCGGCACCGCTGGGGTTTGGTCTGTGCCCTTCCTCTCCCAGCACGGAGCTGTGGGACAGGTAAAACCATGGATACAGCTCCGGGAGGGATGGACACAGCAGTAAAAGAGGGTGGGGTGGGGCAGAGCGATGTGCTGGTGGAGCAGGAGCCCAGCTGAGCAGAGGGGAGATGCTGATGTCCAAAGAAACACCTGGAAAGGTGGGATATCCTGGCATGGGCAGAGGCTGGGCACGAGCTTCCCCTGGGACTGGGAGGGAGGGAAAGGGAGCTGGGGAGGGATGAGCATCACTGTGGCAGCAGGGAGAGGATCTGTGCTGTGCACGAGGAGCGAGGGGAGAAGAAATGGTTATGGGTGTGTAAGGATGGGGTGTTGGAGGGGATCGGGAATCTGGGAATGACATGGGGTTGTGGGTGAGGAACATATGAGGGGATGCAGGGAAGAGGATGGAAGGGGAGGGCACCCCTCACCTCCAGCTGCCCTTGGAGGGGTTGGCAGGGTGGGGTGCAGGGAGGGGCGGGATGGGGCAGTCAGGGAATGAGTACAACCATGGAACACACAGCTGGATGGTGGGACCTGGAAACCGTCTGCTCCTTGCTGGGATCCTTCCTCATGGTGCCTGTGGGTCCAGCTGGACACTGCCTGGAGAGAGATCCATCATGGATGGTGTCACCTCGGAGGTGAGACTGGCACAGTGCAGCCCCTCCATCACGGACAGTGTCACCTGGGAGGTGAGGGTGACACGGCACAGCCCCTCCATCCCAGTACAGCCCCTCCATCCCAGCACAGCCCCTCCATCCCAGACCTCTCCTGGCCCCACACAGAGGTGCCCACCCTGGAGTGGTGCCCACCTTCCCCTGCCACCCGCTTTTGCCCCTTCTGAGGAGCCCACGCACGGCCAGGGTGGGCAGTGGTGGGAGCAGCCCCTCTGCAGAGCCGGGTGGGGACTCCTTGGAGCAGCCCCTCATTTTGGGATGACCAGTGGAGGAATCCCAGGGACCAGAGCCATCCTCGGCTGCAGCCACTCACCCCACGGGCTGCAGGGACTCACTGGGATTCAGGACAGAACTGGGTCACAGGGATTTAAGCAGGTCTAGGGATGCTCCCGTGTCAGGAGCACGGGGGGGATTTGTCCGCCTGTCCCCCCACTCTGTCACCCCCACAATTCCCCCCAGCTGTTCCTGCTCTGTCAGACCCCACTCACCTGCCCTGAGTGCTCCTGTTTCCCGTGGGAAGGCACAGCCTCCGTTCCCTGTGTCATCCCAGGTGGCCACGAGCCCTGGAGCCCCGTGTGGCTCTGGGGTCAGTCTCCCTCGCCGTGGCTCTGGGGTCAGTCTCCCTCACCGTGGCTCTGGGGTCAGTCTCCCTCACCGTGGCTCTGGGGTCAGTGTCCCTCGCCGTGGCTCTGGGGTCAGTGTCCCTCGCCGTGCCTCAGCTTCCCCCGGAGGTGACGGCCCGTTCCCAGCCCGTGGGCTCTCATCCCACTCTGGCTTTCCCAGATGCAGGGAGGAGCGTGGTTTGGAGGGATTCCCCCAGGGACAGGGCTCCCCATCAGCAGGGACAGCGGGGCACAGTGAGGAGCAGGCACCGTGTGCTGTGCCGGGCACCGGAGCCGACCCCACGGGCCCTGGGGAGGAATTTGCCTCCCAGCCAGCAAACCAACACGTGGGCTCTGATCACAGGCCTGATGACGCCGGGCTGGCCGGGCCCGGCACTGCCATTAAATTTCAATGCTTGGTTGGTTTGCTGGAGGGGGGGCCGGGCCCATTGTGGCCCAAAGGGCTGGCACGGGACAGGGAGTTGGCATCGGCCCTCCTCGCCCCGTCGTCCTCTTTTCTCTTGCAGACACACAACAGGACCAGAGCCACGACCCCAGACAAGGAGCCTTTCTTCCCTTGATGAGCTCCGGCTGTACGGAACAAAACAGCCGGAGTCAGGATTCATCGGCTGAGTCCCGATTCACAACTGAGTCCTGATTCACAACCGAGTCCTGATTCACAACCGAGTCCTGATT